GCATGCTTGTAATCACAGCTACTTGGAGGCAGAGATTGGGAGGACCATGGTTCAAGGCCATGCTGGGAAGAAGCTTAGACCCTATCTCTATCAATAACCTGTCCATGGTGGTTCATCTCTATGATCCCAGCAGTGCAGGATGCATCGACAGGTAGATCTTGGTCCAGGCTGACCCTATGAAAATACAAGAGATCCTATCTGAAAAATAACTAAAGCAAAAAAGGGCCGATTATGTAACTCAAGTGATAAGAGTGCCTGACTAGCAAGCATAAGGCCCTGAGTTCAAACCCCAGGACCACAAAAAAAAAAAAAAAAGTTACCATCTTCTTCCTGTTTTAGTGATTTTCTCTGGCACTTACCTATGCAAATAAATGGAGCAGGGTGAGTACCAAGGCTGTGCATGTACACATCCCACCCCATCCTCTAAGACTGCACTGTGTTCTCTGTCCCAGTGTCTTCTCCGAGTCACTTTCAGGGCTGCTGGCAATGTTGGGGGCATGAGCACATGAGGCTTGTAGCGTGTGGCCTTTCCTTGCTGTGTTCCCATGTGTGTGATGGGTATACTAGAGTGAGTCACTAGGGCTAAGGTTTGTCCTGGAGTGGTAGGGCCATTATCAGAGAGTCCACATTCAGCCCTGGTCCAGGCCCTGAAGTGAAGGGAACTGGTGACTAATGCCTGTGTATTGGCCGGGGTCTTGCTCTGCACTGAGTGTCAGCCCCTCCTTGGCTGAGGAGCATGGGTTGGTGGGATTTCTGGGTTAAAGATCAAATAGCTACCTCTGCAGTCTGTTTCCTGACTTGATTGTCCTCCCTCCTGGGTCCCCTACTGGGGAGAGGGGGCGCAACAATGACAATGTCTATAAGGGAGTGCTGTAAGTTTGAGAAGGAGCCCTCATGCACAGGCTCAGTGGAAAAGGATTTGAGATCATTTTGTTCTCATGTTTGTTGCTGAACCCTTTGTCCTTCTGGAAGTGGCGGCCTTTAGCAAGGATTTCCCCATAGAGCTGCTGTTTGAGTCGATCAAGAATAGAGTGTGTGTATGTGTGTGTTTGCACTTGAACACATGTGCACACATGTACACACATGTACACAAAAACCATACCCATCTCCAGGTCAGGACCAAAGGCTCTGCCTTCATAAATAAAATCCACTGGGATATTTTATTTTTGAAGAATGGATTCTGTTCTTTGCTTTTTTAAATAGCAGACTTAGCAGGAGAGGAGGAGAGGAGACTCCTAGCAAGAGATGAGGGACTGCAACAATTCCATTAATAGGCAAATACTTTGGTGCTTTGGGGTGAGGTGCAGGTTACCCAAAACCAAGTGTCATCGGGGGTCATGGTATCAATTTTTGGCTATTATAATTGCTGTGTTTCAAATGTCCCCTAATGTTCATGTGTTGAAACTTAATTCCTGATGGAGTAGTGTTGGGAGGTTGAGCGTCGTCGGAGGTGATTAAGTCATGATGGTTGTGCCCTCACACATGGATTAATGTCATGGGAATAGATTAGTGATCTCCATAGTGGGTTTTGCCACCAAGATGAGCTCGGCCCCCTCTTACTCTTTCACTGTCCCTTGCCCTTCCACCAGCTATGGGGGATACAGTAACAAAGGCCCTCAACAGATTTGGGCTCCTTGGCCTTGGCCTTGGCCTTTCAAGTCTCCAGAACCATAGGAAACAGTTCTCTGTTCTGTATGAATTCCCCAGTCTTGGGTATTTCTGTTTATAGCAACAACAAAAGGAGCTAGAATAGTAACTAAAAAAATAAAAATGACAGCTACTAGTGAGAGTGCAAGGAAATCTTTTTGGGTGCCACACTGCTGCTCACATTATTAGGAAAGGAATGTCCTCTTCTTATTTGATCAAGATGGCACTGGTGAGTGTAGGAGGGGCTAGCAATTGAGACACACTGGCCACATGTTTATAATCTCTGCTTATTTTCTGACTAGTGAGTGACTTAACCATTCAGTGAAGAAGCAGAATTCTCCTGAGGCAGAGAGACAGCTCAGCGTTCCTCCTAACTGCAGCAGGGTTTGCCTCTTCCCTCCCTTCTCAGCTGTTAAGGATGTCTGAATGAGAATGCTCTGTTATAGAATGTGCCACAGGAAGTAGGCCTGCGGAATGTCAGAGGGAGGACCATAGGGTCTGCACAAGGCCAACACTGGCTTTTCCCAGACTGGCAGGCAGCATGGGAGGTCAGCGTGGCATTAGTACTGAGCACAAGACTGTCCCAGGGCATGGACTTTTAAAAATGAAAACGTATTTATAGAAGGTGTCCCTGAAGCCAGAACTTCTGACTGTTCCTTGTCAGGCCCCACCCCATGACAAGTGCCAGGCTCACTTTGCAGTTTTGTTGCTGCGTTTTAACCTGGGAATGAGAATAACTCTGGGAGGTTCCTGTCACTGACGTGAATCTTTTCTTTTTTTTTAGTGGTTTATTTACTTATAGAAAAGCACTTAAAATGTGTAGGCAGAGTTGAAAGCCAGGCGTGGTGGAGTGCACCTGTAGTTCCACCGAGCTGGCTGGCTGAGGCAAGATAATTAGTTGAGGCTAGTCTGGACGACACAGTCAGGTCCTCTCCCCACAAAAAGAAAAAAGTTTATAAAGAGTAAAATGAACACAAAATGGAGCCCACACCAGGTTACAAATACCTTAGAAGGCCTTCCCCTTCTCTTAGAGGTAACTGGCGTTTCAATGTTCGGTTAGAAACCCTTGCTTTTCTCATTCTCACTAGCTATATAATGTTTTTGTGCTTTGTCTTATCATTATTATTTCCATTTTGGAAAGTTGAGCACCAAGCCCCACTGTAGTTGGATAAGGGAAGTTTCCTATTTGAAACTGCTAAGTGAGGGCCCAGCCATCTGGGGTGGATGTTGCCCATGGGAGAGCCTCACTCTCTATAGAACTTGCTGCAGGACATGAGTGTCCTCGCTGTCCCCACCCTGTGTGTTGCTTGACAAAAGGGGCTGCTGTTCATGACTCCATCGTAGGAGGTTGAGAGCATTACAGAAGAGGGCTCATGAGCATATGATGATGTAGCAGGTGTCCTCCACCTGGAGTACAGAGAGAAGGTTCAGGGGCTTCATGAGCAACCAATTCTGTCCCTGTTCCCCTTTTGGGTGAAAGGGTCTGCCATGTTTTCAAAGGAGTTTGTGACATTGCCCACCTCTGGTCCCCTTTCTCTGTCAATAAGATTAATGAATAATGTGAACATTGTGGTAGGGTTTGGCTTTGTTTTCTAAATGGACACCAGGGCTATGGAAGATTCCTTGAGGTATATTTGATTTGCCTATCTATGTCTTTGTTGACCTGTTGGGTTGAGGGAGAGGCTGACTGTTGGAAGGGAAATGAGCAGGAAGCTGTGCCCTCGGCAGTCCTGTGTGGAGTTCCTGACCATGGTGTGGGTGGCCTAGCAGCCTTTGCATTTTCTCTGAAACCTACGTCTCCATCTCTTGACCTAGAGCAACTAAAGTGGGAAAAAGGAGAGGAAGAAAATTGGAATGGTTGCTGTAGTTTCACAACAAATGACCTCACTGCCTAAATTCTGCTTTTTGCAAAAGAAACCTTAACTTTTGCCTTATAAAAAATAATGGACCTTTGGGAAAACAGTGCCAAATCCCCATTTAGTGTGTGTGTATTGTGGGGGGGGCTGCAGGAGGAAGGGTGCAGATTTGATAGCTGAAATGGACTTCCTAGAAACAGAACACAGCCGGCTATACCAACATAGTGGTTATTGCTGAAGAGATGCAGTAACTTGAATTTATAGTGATTGTCATTCTCTTCTCAAAATAGGCAATAATTAAACTCTGTGCAAGCCAATTTAACCTGAAGTATTTTCAGTTCTGTTCCAAAATTGTAAGGGAATTGTTGAAGTTTCTAGCAGGACACCTGAGGTTTTTCCCTATCCATGCTCCTCATTTTATGGCAAGCTAGGTGATACTCCACAGGTTAAGTGTGATCTGCAGCCTGTCAGGACTGGCTGGATCAAGAACCCAGGGGGGAGAGGCAGCTATTTAGATGATTATGTTTAAATATATAATCATATGAAGATTTAATAAAAAAATCATAATCAGATGCATCATTTCCTGTAGAATGAGTATTTTGATAATTTCATCCCACCAAATTGAAATGTAAGAGTCGTAGTTCGCCATCTAAAGTGTAGGAATTTCTTCATCCCACCAGCATTTCCTGGGATGGGTTCTGGTCTGTTGGGTCTTCAAACTTGATGTATAGAAAAGGAGTTTTCTGTCTCATCCTGTGTTCTTTACATCTCAAAAGTTCAGGTTTGCTTTTTATGTCTTTAGGCTTCCTCTAAAGTTTTTAGGTTTTCTTTCTCCTTGCAAATATGAACAGTCCTGTTTCTTCTTGAACACTGTATTTGAAGAAAACCAGGAGTCTCAGCTTAGCTGGTCCAAGTCATTTGGGATTAAGGAGAGCAAACTAGACGAGTGGATAAGATTTGGAATTGCAGGCTGCTTTGGCTCCTCCTCTCTTCAGCACCAGACTGAACAGGAATAACATTCGTTTAGAAACTGAGTTTTATTCAGAAGGTAATTAACAGGTAGAATTTAAGCTTTGTAGGGTTGGTTTTGTGATTCTATTCCTGCTCTTGCCATTAGTCACCACTGATTTGGGGCAAGGCCTGTGTGCTTTCTGAGCCTTGACTTTTCTTATTTGTGATCCCAGGGCCTTGAGTCTGCTGATTTCCCAGGGCCCTCTGCAGCCCTAAGTCTGGACACCACCACCTGGGTGATCTTGCAGAGAGGCTGCATTAATGCTTCGGCTGATGGATGGTGTCTTTTCCCCAAATGGAAGGCAGCCATCTTGCCAGCTCTGTGGCTGCACAGAGCTGCTCTGAGACCATCACCGTACATGGCATCTCCTTTTTAGCCCTCTACATAATCTGGACCCCAACAGGGGGATTAGTGTTGTGGAGAACACTGCTCACCTGCTAATGGGGTCCTGTGCTGACACATCATCATGTGTGCTTTCTTGCCAGTGTACTGCTGCAGGTTAACATCTGGACTGGACTCCTGGCCCCTCGGATACTCAGCTGCTCACAAGTTCCTGGATCAATTTGTTGAAAATTGTGAGTGATCTCCATGTTTGTAATGCTCAAGAGCTCTTGACCTGTGGAATCTCAGGGTTGGGGAGTTTGTGACCAGCAGTTACAAAATCCAGCCAGCACTCTTGGTCTCCCTCATTGAGAAGCCCCAACTCAAGAGCCAGCATTGCTCACAGAGTGATGGGATGGGGGCATAGAAAGATTTTGCCCATAGCCTATAGCTGGGTGCCCACAGGTGCCCCCTCTCCAGCAAACCAGGGTATTTGGGTCCATTTTCTATTTCATTACCTTGTCAGGAATTATGGGTCCATAGTGACATCCCAGTTCTCTTCCTTGTTAGGGACCATGAGAGGCATGATTCTCTTAAAATACAACAAAACGGAAAGTTAAAAGCATGATTTCTGATGAAAGGAATGACTTAGAATGAGCAAGTTTTTCTTCTTCCCTTTGGAGAGAGATCTTACCTGACTTAAGAATAAGAACCTATATTGATAAGTTCATTTGCTTTTTGTGAAAAGGAAAAATATTGTCAAGATGTCATCAAGGCTCTAAATTATGCAAAACCCTTAAAGCCTTTGTGTGTGTGAGAAAGTGTTTTTTTTTTATTTTTAACAAAATAATGTTGTTCAGTATAATATCATAGACATTTATTTGGTGCTAATACAAATATGTCCCATATTTAAAGGCCACATATTATTTCGTTTTTAACGTGTTTAAAGATATGTTATACAATGATTCATTCCCCCATTCCTAGGCATGTACTCCCCATCCCTCTTTTTTCAAAATTTTTTTTTTATGGTGGAATGAGTATTTTTGTAATGCTTTTTTGTAGTCCATGAAGGGCAAATCTGTAGACTTTCAAAGTCAAAAGATAAATTCCTTTAAAATGTTTTCCTTTAAACATGTGATATAATTTATATCCCCAGCACAGCCATGAGGGCTCTCACTACCGTAGAATGTCACTAACCTTTAAAAATTTCATTATTTTGAAAAGCTAAATACAAGAACTCTCAAAGGCTAGGTGTGGTAGTGCACACCCATAATTCCAGGTACCCAGGAGCAGAGGTAGGAGGACCATGGTCTGAGACCAGCCTGAACAAAAGAGTAAGGACCTGTCTCAAAAACAAACAAAAGCAAAAGGATTAGGGCTCAAATAGTAGAGTGTCTGCCTGGCAAGTACAAGGTCCTGAGTTCAATCCCCAGTACTGCTCCCCCTCAACTCTCCCCCTATCCCCCTCAAGGAAAAAAAAAGTGTCCTAAAGATGACTATGGCAGCTCTAGGCGATCTGAGGTCAACGGTGGCCAGGATGCTCTTTCTGCTCTCATGGTACAGCCTCCTGGACTTGCCCCTCATCCCTGGGGCTCCTTGTTTCCATATCGCTCCTGCTTTCATTAGACCCAGTGGTGCTCAGTGCTGAGAGATGGTCTGGAGTGACCATTCATTGCTCATGCGTGTGTGTGAGGGTGGAGGCTGCTCCATGTCCAGGCCCGTGACAGCCTGAGTTACTCAACCTGACCTGTTTTCTCTCTCTCCGTCTTTGCTCAGACGGACCCTCTTTTGCACATTAGCTGTGCTTCTTCTGGTTGTCTGCAGCTTGGGTCTCTGACATTTGTTGGAAGCACATTTCTCCAAGGCAGAGTAAAGGCCTTTGTCATTCAGCAGCCATCTGTGGCAGATCTCACATTTAACAGGAATGACTGATGACAGGCTGATAAGAGGCTGATAAAATTCCTGTGGGTGAGGTTTGCTGACCTGCCTCTCCCCCTTCCCCTCCCCATAGGCTTCCTGCCGAGCTGTTGCCCTTGCCCTCTCTGGCCTATTCCTGTACCAGGATGTATACAGCAGACCTCTTTCTTGTGCCAGAACCATTTTCATCCCCATTTTCTTGGTGTTTATGTGTGTTTTTCCTTAAAAGTGATGTTCCCTATCTCTGGATAGGCCTCCTGTGCCACAGCTTTAAAGTAAATAGAAGGCAGGACTGTCAGGAACAATGGTGGCTCTTGTCTTCTGAGGCTGCTGTGGGCCCCCTTCCCCAGAGCTGCTCTTGCCAGCTGTTGGTAGCATGAAGAAGTGGGCGTTCCAGAGAGGCTTCACCCTAAAAGAAGCCATCTTGACAAAAATCCACAAGGCTTGGCAGGGTCTTCTTAGCAAGACAGCACAGTAGTCAGGACAGTAGCTGTTTGCCCCAGATGTTTTGTTTGGTAGAAGCATTGTAGTGATAAAAATACCCCAAACTCCCTTTTGAGAGCAGAGGCAATCAGTTAAGTAGCTCCTGCTGTGTAGCTGGGACAAGCACCATGCCCATGGATTCTATTTGGCAGTGTGTCCTTTGGCCAGCTGCATGGCTCCCTAGAGACAAAAGGGCAGTTGCATGGAGATGTTAGAGGAAGTGACCTGTTGAAAGTGCGAAGGAGGTGACTCTCCTACAGCTGCTGAATTCCCAGGGCTGCTTCGGGCTTCACTGCCCTGAGTTCATTGTCCATCTGCTACTCCTGGGTCTGAAGTGGAGAGGTGACTTGCAGTCTGGACAGTGGCTGTGGTGATTTCAAAGCAGGATCAGGGGAAGAGGGAAAGCCTGCCTGGGTTGGGCATGGTGGCAAGGGAGAATTTGTTGAGGAAGTAGGTGTAAGTTGGAGACTTGGATACTAGTTGACTGGGTCACTGGAGTCTGCAAGTTACTTGGTAACTTAGGACAAATTTTATTTTTATTTTTAAAAACAAAAATATTAGAGCTCTGTTAGCAAAATATCGAAAACAAGGGCAGATGGTGCCAAATCAGTTCAGCTGTCATGGAGCTCATTCATTTTGTGAATTAATTATCTTTAGAGGTCATCAGGCCAGGAACATGGTTTTTCCAGCAATGCCCCAGGGAGGGATTCTCAGAGGTCAAGAAGTGGAGTCCAGGCTCCACTAACCCTGCTTCTCAGAACAGATGAAACACTTTTCATTTTGAGTAATGGAATAGGGGCTGTGTTGTTAGCCTTCTGTTACTGTGACAAAAACTTGAGAAAATCAACTTAAAGGGATGAAAGCATTACATGGGCTGGTAGTTTATGAGGTTTCAGTCTATGGTTGCTTGGCTCTGTTGCCTTGGGCCTGTGACAGCACAGTCCATGATTGTGGGAGCATGTGGTTGTGGAGGCCTCTTCATGTCATAATGGCTGGGAAGCAAATAAAATAAAACAAAAGACCCCTCCCCCCCATACACAAATAGGAAGAGGGTAGGGTCCTAATATCTTCTTCAAGGCCATACCCCCAATGAACTAACTTCCTTGCACTAGTCCCCACCTCCTAAAGTTTCCACCACCTCCCAATAATATAGGCTGGGCACAAAGCCTTCCACAATATGGGCCTTTAGGAGATATTTCAAAACATAACAGCCTATTTTAGTTTTCTCTTGCTGCTGTGACAAATGACCATAAACTTAGTGACTTAAGGCAACACTAATCCATTATCTTAACAATTCTGTAGAAGTCTGATTCAGATGTCATTGGGTTAGAATCAAGGTGTGGGAAGGGTTGCCTTCTTTCCAGGGCTGTAGCAGAGAATCCAGGTCTTTGCCTTCACCCACTTCTAGAGGCCACCTGTGATCCTTCACTTGATGTCCCATGGCTCCATCTTCACTCCATCCCACTGTGCTGTCTTCCTTTGACTCTTCTTATAGCTTCACATCTCCTTCTGGCCTGGGAAAGGTTCTCTGCTTTTCAGGACCATTGTGATGACCATGGGCCCCTATGAACGATCCAGGATACTCTCATCACCTCAAGATCCTTAACTTGATCCCCTCGGCAAAGCCCATTTTGCCACACAAGGTAATCACCTTCAGAGATTAGGATGTGGACATCTGTGAAGGTCATTTTCTGTCAACCACAGAGTGGGTATAGGCTGAGGCAAGGGGCTGAAGCAGGCCCAGGATCTGGTCTCCTGGCAGACTAGGCCTCAGTGCTCCCCGGCCTGCAGTTTTCCACATTGTATGATACCTGATGAGTGGCTGTTGCAGGCTGTGCCCTTCACAGACAGTTGCAGGCAGTTGTGAGGCTGAGAAGAGCTGAAGGAACTGTCCCTACCAGTGATGAATGGGCAAACCCTGGGTGGAGTTGAGCAGTGCTTTAAGGGTTCCACTGAGCTGTGGAGTGGTCTAAGGTCATTGTTTATGCATTGTACTGATAAGGTCTGTTCTTTTTAAGAGTCTTGGCATATATGGATCCAGGCAAGCTAGTGTAAATAAAGAAGTTGGGTTTCTTGCTGTCTTCTCCATTCTCCCTTGTTAAGGAGTAGCCCTTGGATGTTTCTGTAGGGATCTGCCCCTCTGCTGGGATTTTAAGCAGGGAAGCCTTTGACCTGCACTTCCTTTGGAGACGTCCACATGACACTCGGCCCCTGAGCAGTTCCTGACTGCTTTCTCACTAGGTCTTTGGGTCTGGATTGGTAATTTTGAATACCTGAGTTGGGATCAGCTATCCAGCTGGCGTAGAGCTGGAAGAGAGAGGCACAGTCACCTGGGACTAGGGATCAGTAGATGGTGACAGATGAGTTTCACATGGAGCCTTGCCTTATTCAGCAGAAGCACTTGGTACTAACTGAATTTGTGTTGTTTCAGAAGACTTTATTCTGAAATAATTTCAAACTTACAGAAAAGTTTTGTAGAGCATTGCTTAAATTCATCAATTATAAACATTTTCCATTTATCATTCTCTGTATTACATATGGTCTTCCCCAAGCAGAGAAAGGATGTGCACACTGTGCCCCCCGCACCACTACACACTGCAACATGTCTTCTTCTAAAAACAAGGACATTACTTTTAATGACCCAGTTCAATTAGTGAAAACAGGATATGTGCTAGTGTGACCAAGGAGATGGTACAGATTCAAAGCCTGCCCCATGGCAGGCTCTTGGTCCTAAGAGGGTGACCAAAAGTGGTCAGCCTTATTTTCTAACCTAATGTCCTTTGTGCATTTCTTTCACTGCTGTAGAATTAATTTCAGGACCACGCAGACTGTGCTCAGCTGTTAAGTCTCCTGA